AGGCCACACTTTGGAGGGGGCACTAGGCTTCGGCTGATGTCTCGGAAGAGAATAGAATGAATGAATCATGAATTGGGTGAAGGTCCCTCTTCTGCCCCAGTTGGACCCCTCCAATCTCACTCCCTAGCCCCCGACTGATTTTCCTCCCAGATTCCCAATCCCTTGGGTGCACAGATTCCCACACCCAGCATCTTCCACTTGGTCCCGAAACACTCTCTCATCCCCAGTGGACTGCGTGGGAGCTCCTGTCTCCACAGACCTAACCCAGCCTCTCCCTGGACCTTGGTCTCCAGCTATGGACACACTGACCCTCCTCCAACTCTCCTAACTCTGCCTCAACCCTGTTGTTCCTGGATTCTCTTTTCCTTGTCCTGCCTGTCTGTCTGCCTCTGTCTGTTACTCTGTCTGTGTCACTCTCTGCTTTCCTAGGGTCTCACCCAAGATTTCAGACCCAACATGCCTACAGCTGAGCTGCCTCTCCACCGCCGTTGGAGTCTTTTTCATCCAGAGTGTCCCGTGTCCCCTTCTCTCAAATTCCACACGGTTTGCCAGCTCCCCCAGAATCAAATGCTCTTCCCCCAGCTTCAGTTTTATTCTTTACTTTTCTGTTTGGGTGCGCACCCAGTTGTGCTCAAGAGCCGTATCTAGCTCTGTGCTCTAGAGCTCCTCTTTCTGGTGCTCGGGGTCATCTGTGGCACTCAGGATATCATATTCATACTCAGGCGGACATAACGGTGTCAAGATTTGATCATTAGCGAGGCAGAAACTGCACGAGAGGCCAGAGCTTTGATGCCTGTGCGACCTGGGACACTGCAGCTTCACCTTCAGGGCAGGAGTGGATCTGGTCTTCCTCTTGCTGGGCTGCTCTGGGCTGGCTCGGGGCAGCCTCACTCCTGCCTCTGCTCTTGCAGACACGGTCCATTAGTTCCTCTCCACCCCTCCCCGCATAGTTTACTGTCCCCTGACTCAGAGATCTCACCCACTCCAGATTCTACAGCAGTATCAAAGGTGGTTTGGATGACAGAAGAAGGGAACAGCAAACAGAATACCTGAATTTACAAGGTGCCGGCCCCACCCAGTGTGGAGGGTGGATTATGAGGGCTGGCATGTCCCTGGGAGTTGGGATCACAGGTTGGTGGGGCAGAGAAATGGGTAAGGAGTATTTCTGCATTTATTATGTTGTGACTCTTTTGAGGGTGGCTTCAACTGCAGGTGGTCAGAATTTCTCTTTCTGCTCTGGCTTGAGGTCGCTCCTGGCTGGGTTGTCTAATGCCAATCAGATTGGCACCTTCGACCTCCTTCCCATGGTTGGCCATAGAGAATGAACATACAGGGAGACAAACACATAAAGAGAGAAACACACACACAAGGACTGTCCAAGATGTAGGTGGCTCGGGCAGCCACCCTAGAATTCACATTCAGTCTGCACAAGATCACTCCCCACGCTCACCTCACCAGACAACCAACCGGTGAGCCATCACTGAGAGACACGTTAAGACAGTTAGTGAGCATAGCAACACTCAGTAAGTACATAAAGAGCAGAGGCCGTGGAATTTACTCTACTATGGAGAGGCCCCTGTGTAAACTCACACAAGTATAGGGGGGCTCGGCACCCACACGGCGGCGGCTCTATCTCTCCCGCCACCCGCGTTCGGTAGTCTCACCCTTCTACCACCCCGGAGAGGTCGATGGCGATGGTCAGGCGGAGGAAGGAACGAGGGCCAGGCTGGTTGGTATTAGTCGTAGTTTATTCTGATTCCTTCCTCTTCTCCTCCGTCTCTCTATCCCTCCCTTTTGCCCAATCTACTGTCCCTATATCCCCCTCCAAGAGCAATTCGGGAAGACAATGACATAGGTGTGGTCACAATCAATAGGGGTGGAGATGAACAGGGGTAGAAATCTTAGCCTCAGGGAAGACCGCTCCTAGGACAGATCCTTCCTTAGCAGGAGGACCCACCCTAGAGCAGAATTCCATGGGCGTGCCTCTCCTCTCCTTGTCCGACAAGCATATAAAATATTATATAAATCATTTTGTATGGATACAGTAAGAAATATCTTAAACTTATAGAATTGCTCTCCTAGGGCCATCTCGATCTCAGACTACGGTGTTCAGGCCAGATAGTCTTTCCCACCCCTAGCAGGATCCTAGTCTTGTCGTTACCTTGGATCATGACAGCATTTGTCCATGATCAAACTCTTAACTTATAGTTAAGAATCGTGGCACTTTGGCCTGGCCCATTTCGCTGCCAGGGTAGCTCACTGCTTGCCCTGGGTCCATTCAGTCCCTCGTCGGGACCCTGCTTTTGGGGTGTTAGGAACTATGGGCAACTGAGGCTTAAGTCGAGAAAGCAGATGCCCAGGAGTGAATAATATTCAAGGCCAATCAAATCCTAAATTACAAAGCATAATGTTAACGGTCTTCCTGTATCTATACAAAAAGGATATTACTTTAAAGTAAACTGTTCATAAGGCATAAGGAGAGGAGAAAGGCAATATTTCACTCATACATATAAAATCATAGATTTCTGGGAAACTGATCTTACAAATTAACAAAGTCTGATTAAGGGGAAAGCTGATTAACTGGGTGGGAGAGCATAGGGAAGACTGTTTACAGATAAACACAATGGAAGTGGAAGTGCTTCAGGAGCACTGAGGTGGGTGTAACCAGATAAAGCCTAAGCTTCTTGAAGGACAAAGCAATGTTACCCAACAGGCCCCTTGTAATATAAAGTCCTGACATGGTGGTGCCCAACCAGATCATGAGACTGGGTCCTTGGACGCTGCCCTGCAATCAGGAAGCAGAACCAGTACCCCACTTTGATCTAAGTCGGCCATTTGAAGCTTGTGAGTCTGATCTACAAAAGGCCAAGCCCACTCTCTGGCATCAGCAAGTTCTCTGTACAAAGAAGCAGCCCTCCCCTTCCCACATACCTCAGACCTAGCTAACCTTTACATGTAAATGTCCCCTCCTATTTATCACAGACCCCAGGTGTGAGGAATTCATGACCTGCGGGGCCTAGTGCTGGACTATGTTTTCGTCCCGCAGAAATTGTAACTGACCATGCTTCCCTTCCTGGAGATTGTAACTCTTTGCTTCTTAAACAGGGGGGGAAATGTATAGTTTGATACATGCTCATCCTGTACCTCCCAATCTTTATTTTGATCCTTTCTGCTCTCTTAAATTTCATGGAGGTGTTTACTATAGGAGATCAAATAAAAGGGGGCTGTGAAAGCTGGGCTAGGTCCCTGAGCAAGCCTTGGCCCGCTGTGCTTCTTCATTCCTCTCACGTGTCGTGTCTCTGCACCTCTGAGCCTCTGACTGAACCATACAACACTGAGAGTTTCCCTTCTATTTCTGCCCATACCACCCAACACCCGACAGACACTAAACAGTCTTATTCTATGCATCTCAAACGCCCATTTGCAGTCAGAAGTTATTTGTCATCTATCCTTGTCTTTCATGCTCTAATTTTCTTCCCTGTGTGCAGGTTGTTGTGTTTTGCGGTAGTTTGTTTGTTTGTTTGTGTGTTACAGGGCTATGCCCCACAATGTTCAGGAATTACTCCTGGCAGTGCTCGTGGCAACACAGGGAGTGCTAGGATTCAAAACCAGCTTGGCCACATGCAAGGCACTGCCCTACCCACTGTAGCATTGCTCAAACCCACCAGGGCATATGTTTGCAAACCCTTTGAATTCTATGATGTGAACTATTTTCATGGTCACGGTCCTCCCGTTGTTCGTTGATTTGCTTGAGCGGGCCCAGTAACGTCTCCATCATGAGATTTGTTGTTACTGTGTTTGGTATATCGAGTACGTCATGGGTAGCTTGCCAGGCTCTCCAAGAGGGGCGGAGGAATCGAACTCGGGTCTGCCATGTTGGCCACTTGTAAGGCAAGCGCCCTACCGCTGTGCTGAACTATTTTATTCAGAGGAATATTTCAGTCTTCAGTCTTTGTGTCCTCTGTATGGAATACATCCCCTTTCTGTCACCATGCCAGCGTCCCAGGACACTTTGATGGTTCATCTGTGTGAAATTGCGCCTTCTGACTGTCAGCGGTCAGGCCATTAGAACGCCTTGTTTCTGGTGCCTCCTTCCCTCCCCCAGAGTCCCTGAAGGGTAAGGGGTTGGGCGACACAGGGCCAAGAGTCAGTTCTGGAGAGAAGCAATAGCCCTTGTGACAGCTAGTGACAGGGAAGGGTTTTTTATAAAAGCAGAAATCAAAAGGGCCAAGAAAACAAGTCAAAGGTTGGGAAGGAATTCAGGTACTGGGGGCTCAATCCTGAGCACCGCAAGATCCCCTTATTCCCCGAGGTTGACTCCCAAGCCCTAAGCTGGAATAGTCCCTCTTGGTTCCTGAGGGACTTTGGGCCACCTGGATGCCCTGAGCTCGCTCTTTGTGTTCTCCTTCGCCCCCACCTCTCAGCCTCCTGGGAGTGCCCTTGGCGAGCCCTGCACAAGTGCGCCAGATCTGAGCACGTGCACACGGCAGCGCCAGACGTCCTGCACCCGGGCTCCGGACCTCTCTGCTACCACCACGACCTCATGCTGCTGTGGTTCCTGCTGTCCCCTGGGCCTCTCAGGACAAGGTGTGCGACACCTCCCACACCTGTCGAGTTGCCGGGCTGGGGACTAGGGTCCAGCATCAGATGCCCCCTCCCCGCCTTCTCTGGCTCTGCCTCAGCCCCAAGAACCCATCTCCGGGAGCTCCAGCCCTGCACACTTGGCCTGCAGCCCCAGGAAAAAAGCCAGCGGTCAAGGTCAGCCGGCCTGGACCAGCCAAGCCACAGTGCAAAGCTGAACCACCTGCAATGCTCCACCGGAGATGGAAGGGGTGTCTCCAGTCCTGAAGCCGAGGGGGGGCCAAGGCTTCATCTGGGTTCAGGCAAGACTGGGAGGGGCCCTGGAGGGGAGGGGGTAAAGGTTCTTAAAGCCTGGGGGCTGATCCCTGCCCAGCTCCGAGCTTGCCACCTGCTTGACACTGATGGACGCCACTGCCACCATGTGCTTCCTGCTCCTGTGCCTGGCCCTGACCCTAGTGGGGACGGGTGAGCAGGTGGGGGGTGGGGGGAGCAGCCGCTGATTCGCAGCCTCTACCCTTGCCTCCTTCCTGGAACTGCCCGAATGCTGTGCCTTGCTCATCCACGCCCATCTGCTCTGCCCAGGGGCAGACCCCGGGTTTTCCTTGGCTCTCTGGGGACCCTGACTCTTCCTAGGAGCACCCCAAATGGCATTGATTCTGGGACTTTGTTCCCTTCCTAATCCTTGTCCTCAGGATCTCCAAGGCCTCCTCTCCCCGGACTCCTCCCGTCCCCTGCCGGCTTAAAGCTGGACCCTCCATTCCCCACCCAAGGGCCCTGCCAGTCCTCCCTGACTGCTGTCTGGTTCTTGCCATCAGCTGGTACCCATCCTGGGAGGTCTGGAAATCATCGTTTCTCTGTCATTTTCCCCTGGAACCCCCCATCTAGAAAATTCTCTCCTGCAAAAGTTCCCAGAACCCAAAACCACATGCTCCTTCTCCTGGAGAATTTCCATCTTTCCTCCAGTTGAATCCCTCTTTAACTGCACCTCCTTGGAGGACACTCATGGGTCCCAAATCCCTCACCATCCTTGGGGTCCTGCACCACAAGACCCCAGGGCCCCAACATGTGAAGCCATAGGCCCAGATGGAAATGAGTCTTCTGTGAGTCCCCGAAAGAATCAGGGTCCCAGGAAGACTTCCTGATTTCCCTACCCCTAGCACCTTCAATCCTGGCACAGGGTCCCCTCTGAAAATCCCATACCTGCCTCATAGGACCCCGCTCCCCAGCCCCCCTTTCTTTTCATGCATTGGCTCAAAACCCCAAGTTCCCCATCCGACTGAGCTGGCTGGTACCTTCTGGCACAAATCATGGAACCCCAGATTCCCCCATCCTGATGGCCCAGGGTGCATTCTTTTCAGAATCCCCAAAGCCCAATCACGTGCCCGACCTTATCTTCACTCCTCCATATGCTCCCCTACTTTCTGTAAGGATTCTTCCTGCTCTCCCAAACCTCCCTACTTAGCACTGGGGGTCTCTTCTCCCCCAGACCAACACCCCGAAGCCTCAAGCCCAAGACCCAGCCTCTTTTCCTTCCTCGTGTTTGGTGGTGGCGGGGCTCTGTGCTCCCAGCACTGTCTGCCCTCACCTCAGTTCCACATGCAGACCCCCAGCCCAGCAGTCAAGACCCCTCTCCCTGTCCTGCCATGGCACCCCTAACCCAGAGTTACCCCCACAGGCGCTGTACCCCCGCATCCAGGTGTCCAGATCCATTCCCGGATTATAGGAGGTTGGGAATGTGACAAACATTCCCGGCCCTGGCAGGCACTTCTGACCCTCACGGACAAGCACCATGGAATATGTGGGGGTGTCCTCGTGCACCCCCAGTGGGTGCTCACAGCAGCCCACTGCAAAAAGACGTGAGTGGGGACAAGGGACATGCTGAATCAGGGGACAACAGTGCCTTTTGTGACTGTGTCAGTTTTGGGGCTCTGGCTGTAGGGGTTCCTGTCCCGTGTGACTAGGAATCCCATATCTCTCTGCCCCTGTGTATTGTCTCTCTATCTCTTTCTCCATCTCTCCCGCACTCTCTCTCATTTCTTCTTCTCATTTCTTCACTCTCTCTCATTTCTTCTTCATTTCATTCATCTCTCTGGGTCTCAACCTCACTACCTCTGCCCACAGCCCTCCTGAGTAACTTCCCCCTGCTTTGGTTCATGTGTGTCCTCAGGCTCCACAGAGAGTGTGTGGAAATGGGAATTCTCATCCCCCTCAGCCTACCATCCTGGGTGGTCATTCCTTCCGGGGCACTGGACAGGGATGGGGGAGGACAGGGAAGATGGTTCCAGAGGAGGCAGAGCTGGGAGCTTTGGGCCAGGCACCTGCCTCGTAGAGGCTCTGACCCCCAGCAAGCTGCAGCTATGCCCAGAACCTCCTCCCCGTGGCCCACAGGTCTACCTTCTCCACCCGTTTCCCTTGTTCTCCCTGGCCTGGTTCTGTCAGGTTCTGTCTTGGTCTCATCCCTGCTTCTTTTCTGTGACTCATTGTCGTCTTCAACCCTTTGCTCTGTGATTCTAACTAACTTGCCATGTCCAACCCACCACGGCCCCTCCCCCATCCATCCTCCCTTGTGTTCCCTTTGTCCCTGTCCCTGTCCTTCACTTTCTCTAGCTCTTATCTTTGCACATGCGCTCTCTTCCTCCTAACTCTGCATCTGTCTTCCTTCTCCCTCCCTCCCTCTCTGTCTCTGTACGTCTCTCTGTCTCTCTCTACATCTTTCTCTCTGTCTCTCTCTCCCTCTTACTCTCTCTCTCTCGCTCTGTCTCTCTCGGTCTCTCTGTCTCTCTGACTCTCTGTCTCTCTCTCTCTCTCCCTCTCTCTCTCTCTCTTTTCCCCCACCACAGGCTTTCTCTTTCAGATTCTTCGCCTGTCTCCCTCACAGTGCCTTTTGCCTCTGCCCTCCATCCTCTCTCCTCAGCAATTATAAGGTCTTGTTGGGGCTTCACGACCGTTTCTCAAATGATGGCACAGTCCAGGAAGCCCAGGTCAGCGCCAGCTTCCCGCACCCTCTCTACAACATGACTCTCCGGAACCTCCTGCAGAATAACAAAATGAACTGGACCTACTACCATAAGACCTTCTCTGGAGCGGATTTCAGCCACGACCTCATGCTGCTGCGCCTGGAGAAGCCTGTTCAGCTAACGCCTGCAGTGCAGGTTCTGGACCTGCCCACCCAGGAGCCCCAAGTGGGGAGCATGTGTTATGCCTCTGGCTGGGGCAGCATCGATCCAAACTATGAAAGTATGACACGGACAGCCCTTCTGCAAATCAGGAAGTGGAGGGCCGGATTGTGGGGGGCCAAGCAATAGAGCCTGTGGGTCTAGGGACAGCGTGAAGGCTTTAGGATGGACAGAGTGAGGTCCTCTGAGTATGAAGGGATTGGGTGAGGAAAGGGGGTGAGAGAAGGGGTGAGGGTGTGGCGGGAACTCTGAGTCTGGAAGAAGAGTGGGGAAGCAGCGTCAAAATAGTGTCTCACTGGAGGCTGGAGTGATGGAACTGTTGGTAGGGTGTTTGCCTTGCACGCGGCTGACCTGGGTTCGATCCCCAGCATCCCATATGGTCCCCCGAGCACCGCCAGGAGTAAATCCTGAGTGCAGAGCCAGGAGTAACCGTGAGCATCGCCAAATGTGACCCAAAAAGAAAAAAAACAGTGTCTCTCTGGCCTTGTAGATTCCAACATTCGTCCTGAGAAGCTCCAGTGTGTGGATCTCACGCTCCTGTCCAATGATGTATGTTCCCGCGTCCACATGTTTAAGATGACTGAGGTCATGCTGTGTGCTGGATATATGAAGGGCGGCAAGGATAGCTGCACGGTGAGCCTGCCATCCCCCAGGGAACCCCAGTCAGCATCTGACCCCCCCAACGGTCCCCATATCCCCCTTTTCCTCAAATGCATAGTGGTCACAAGACCGAGACAGCTGTGAGCAGGAGCTCAGCTAGAAGGGCTTGGGGTCCCCGACAAGGCTGCCACTGCTCTTCCCGCTGACCTGTCTCCCCAATCCACAAGTGCCCTCCAGCCTAGCCAGCACTTGCCCACTGCCCCGCTCCTGGAATCTCACTCAGAGACAATGTTCCATTTCCCCTTTGCTGGCAGTGGCCTCCGAGAGTCCCCATCTGAGAGCTCCTGGGCTCTGCAAGCCGACCCCCTTCCTGACCTCTCCCTCCCACTCCCCTCTGTGCTATAGGGTGACTCCGGGGGTCCACTCATCTGTGATGGGGTATTTCAAGGAGTCGCATCCTGGGGCTCTACCCCATGTGCTCAACCGAAAAAGCCTGGAGTCTACGTTAAAGTATTCTCATACATCAACTGGATCCGGGAGATCATTGCGACACACAGCTAAATACCTCACCCCAACCCAGCCCAGTCTAGCCCCTTACCCACAATAAAATCAAATTCAAATTAAGTTTCGGGGCCTTCTTATTCACGTCAAGATTCACATACTAGGGCAGAGAGACTGTCCAGTGAGAAGTGCTTCCTTCGCATGTGGCTGCCCTGGGTTCAATCCCCTGTACCACATTGGGTCCCCATCCCTCCAGGAGTGATCCCTGAGAACAGCTGAGACACTGGGTTTGTCATCAGCCCTGGAAGCTCCTGGGCAGCCTGAAAGTTGAGGAGCACCATGAAGAGCTTCCTCCTGAGTTCCTTGTCACCACATGGGGGCAGGCTGGGTCCCACTGGGCATTAGCAGCTTCCCGTGAAGCTCGGGGTGTGGTGCCGAAAGGAGAGTACAGAGGAGGTGTAGAAAGTGAGTGGACTGGTCAGGGACAGGGTGTGCTTCCTGAATCGTCCTCTGTGGGCAGTCTGGATTCTGTTATGAGTGCTCTGAATGGGGGCTCACTGTGGTCACCAAGCCCACAGCTCTGTAGATGGCCTTCCTTTGATGCACATGTCTGAGGAAGTTATTTATTTATTTATTTATTTATTTATTTGGAGGAGCAGGACACACCTGGCGATGCTCAGGCTTACTCCTGGCTCTGCCCTCTGGAATCATTCCTGGCAGTACTTGGGGGGTCATATGGGCAGCCTGAGTTCAAACCCAACTCAGCAGCGTGCAAGGCATATGCTCTACCAGCTGTAGTGTCACTCTGTCCCTTGCCCAAGTGGTTTAAACAGTTGGAGATTGACGAAGGCTGGGCATGCATGGTTGGACATCAGACCCGCCACTCACCCTAGGTTCAGTCTCATTCCCAGGATCTTCCTGGAAGTTTGTCCAAAGCCCTGGCCCCTGCCTCACTGAAACCACACCCTTCCCTGCAGAGACCACCCCTCTTCCTGCAGAAAGCCCTTCTCATCAACACAGTGTCAGGGAGCAAGCGCCCCAGCACAGGGTCACTATGTGGGATGCCTGTGGCTTCCAGCCCAGCCTTTACAGTTCATTTATTGCAAAGAGCAACTGGATGAGGATAATCAAGAATCTGCCACCAATCAGAGACGAGAGATGGATATAAGGCTAGCAGGGACACTGTACCCCACAGAAGAGAGACAGAAAGGACATCTAAGCCTATACTCTGTACACACACACACACACACACACACACACACACATACACGACAGATGGAAAGTCACCCACTCACCCCTACTGAAAAAGAGAAAGAAAAGCTGGGAGCACCCAAGAGAGAAAGAAGAGCAGGGATCTAAACAGATGTTCAAAACAAACACACCAGAGAAAGACACTGAAAATTTGAGACACACAACTGCCAAGCCACAAACAGACTCAAGGAGAGAGGCTGGCAAGCCGCTTAATGGCCATGATCCCAGAGACTCAAAAACAAATCTCGGAACCCAGTGGCTTTTGGCAGAAATCTTCCGGACCCGCAGTAGGTTACTGTCATCAGACCACCCCAGGGGACAAAGGGTGCTGTCCCTCCTCCTGCTCCCCCTAGGTGGCTCGGTGGCTACCATCCTTCAGAGGCCATTGGACAGTCAGGTTTGGGCCCTCAAGGAGGAGACACGTGGGGCCTCACGGGATGGGGGTGGAGCTGGCCCTTTCCTCCCCACCACAGTGAGACCCCAGTCATCGCACTCGAATGGCCTCTCTGGTTCCCGATCAAGCTGCTTAACGGCCTTGATCCCAGAGACTCAGAAACAAATCTCAAAACCCAGCGGCTTTTGGCAGAAATGTGTCCGGACCCCGCAGTAGGTTACTGTCACCAGGCCACCCCAGGGGGGAAAGGGTGTTGTCCCTCCACCTGATCCCCCTAGGCAGCTCAGTGACTGCCATCCTCCAGAGGCCACTGGGCAGTCAGGTTTGGGCCCTGAGTGATGAGACACGTGGGGCCTCACGGGATGGGGGTGGAGCCAGCCCTTTCCTCCCCGTCCCAACAAGACCCCAAGTTGCCGCCCATGAACGGCCTTTCTGGCTCTTGATTGAGCTGTTTAATGGTCATGATCCCAGAGACTCAGGAACAAATCTCGGAACCCAGCAGTTTTGGCAGAAATCCCTCCAGATTTAAGTGTTAAAATTTCATAATTTCAATATCGCGCAGCCATAACTGCAGCCATATGACATCATATGTTATTCATAACCAGCAATGGAAAACAAATTGTCTACTGTTGCCTTTTCAGCAGATCTGAGTGTTGGGGTAAAATCCCAAATAATGGTGGGTCTGTGCACCATCATGCCTGCCCGGAGGGGAAAGGGTGTTGCCCCATTCGCCCTCTCCTCTCTGGAAAGAAAGATGGCGGCCGCCAGGGAGCCTTGTGGACAGCAGGTTTGAGCCAGGGGTGGGGGCGGCAGGGACCTCATGGGAAGGGGGGCGTTCCGGTCCGTCCTTCACGCCCTACCGAGGTCACCAGTTTCCCCCCACGAGCGGCTCTCCGGCATGGCCACGGCCCCAGAAGCTCAAGGACTTAACGCAGAAAACCAGCCGTTTGGAGCAGAAAAGCTATTGGACTATGTGTTAAACCGCGCCATCGTGCCTGCCCGGAGGGGAAAGGGTGTTGCTCCATTCGCCCTCTCCTCTCTGGAAAGAAAGATGGCGGCCACCAGGGAGCCTCGTGGACAGCAGGTTTGAGCCTTGGGTCAGGGGCGGCAGGGGCCTCATGGGAAGGGGGGCGTTCCGGTCCGTCCTTCACGCCCTACCGAGGTCACCAGTTGCCCCCCACGAGCGGCTTTCCAGCACGGCCACGACTCCAGAGCACAGAAACCAATCTCTTAACTATCTAACTTTTAATAGAAATACTTCCAGGGTTAATAAGTAAAATAGCAGAAAACCAAAACCGCGTGGCCGCGGACATCATTTAATTCTTAAAACCCAGCTGTAGAAAGCAAATCATTTCACAACGCTTTTTCAGCATGTCTGATTTGGGGGGGGGGTCGTAAACTCTAAATAATAATGGTGCATCTTTTATCGAAACAATGAATCGAGTCAAAGTAGATAGAGTGTTAACTAGAACTCATCTGCCTCACAGGAATTGGGAGGGGTGGGAGGTGGGGTTCTATTGGGGTTCTTCGTGGTGAAAAATAAGTATTGGTAAAGGGAAATGTGTTTGATATTTACATGACTGAGACCTAAACCTGAAAGCTCTTGTAACTTTTCCCACAGTGATTCAATAAATAAATAAATTATAAAAAAAATAATAATGGTGGATCTGGTGTCAAAATATTGAAATAATCAAAGTAGAGTGAGAGCAATGTGGAAATCATCTGCCCCACAGGTAGGAGGCGGGTGTGGGTTGGGGGGTATACTGGGGTTTTTGGTGGTGGAGAATGGGCACTGGTGAAGGTACGCGTGTTTCATTGTATGAACCGAGACTTAAACCAGAAAGCTTTGTAACTGCTCTCATGGTGATTCAATTTAAAAAATTATAAAAAAATAAAAAAAAAAGAAGAGAGGCTGGGACTGGGGAAGTGCCCCTTAACCTATGCTGGTACTTATCCATGCAAAGCTGAAGACACTGGAGGCCAGATCAACCTTTCTAGACCAGTGGAAGAGCATGAGGAAAGAGATTCATGAGACAGAATGGAGGACCAGTAAGCTCTGGGCAAGAGCCAGACACAGAAGGCCCATACTCACGTGTATGAGAACTGAGGCAAAGAGGGAAATGCCTGAGTGTCATCCCCAGACGTTTTTCAAGATCACCTCCAAATTCACCCTACTAACATCTGTGAACAACTCAATAGACATCGCCCCCCACCGCCTTCCCCAATATTTATCTGGAGCAACCCTCAAAAGGGCACATACTCTCACAAAATCAACCTGAGTCTGTCATAGTCAACTCAAAGCCATCCCCACATTCCTCAATGGGATTCACCCGCATTACCCCAAAGCAAACCCCCAGCTGCCATTTATCCAATACAATATCACTCACTCACTCCCACCAGACTCACATCAGGGGAATGAGTGTCAATAGGCAAATTAAGGACAGTTAGTGAGCATATCAACGACAGCACATGGAGAGCAGGGGCTGGGGATTCTACACAGCGGTCAGAAGACACACTTCTGCCAGAGTAAACTATGAGCAGTTTCTTAGTCTATTTTTATCCATGGTGCTCCTGCATTTGAAACATCCTAAAGTCTTTTAGGGAAGTTAATTTATTATTTTTTCCTTTAATTTTTTAACTTAGTCTCCGTGAAACTACAGTTATTTAATTTGGATTCCAGGCATATCATGTTTTATACCAACCCCTTTACCAGAGTTCCTTTCCTCCACCAATGGTCACTTCCAAATCGCATTTGCCTCCCTGCCTCCAGAAGGACCCTAAAGTCTTATTCTGTACTTGTCTGAGGATACTTGTCAGCTCTTCTAGTCTTTCCTGGGTGCACAGGGCAACACTTTGTATTCTAAAATTGGAATTATTTTATCTAGAGGGATATCTCCAGCATGGACTAGGAAGGTAGAAAAAGGCCTGGAGAGGTAGATTCATTCTCTAACAACCACACAGTGAGGAAGGGGAAGCCTCAAAGCTCTATTCCAAGCCTGGAAGAATCCTCAGGGGACATAAGGTCTCCAGAATGCCCCAGTTTGGGCTGGAGTGATAGGACAGCGGGGAGGGCGTTTGCTTTGCACACAGCCGACCCGCGTTCAATCCCTGGCATCCCATATGGTCCCCTGAGCACTTCCAGGAGTAATTCCTGAGTGCCAAGCCAGGAGTAGCCCCTGAGAATTGCCAGGTGTGACCAAAAAAAAAGAAGAATGCCCCAGCTTCCCCCCAAGATAGTCTGGGATTCTGTAGAAGGCTAGAGGGGAGGAGGATTTTGATCCAGTGCAAGTCTTGGATGTCCTGTGATGGAGGGCACCCAGTCCTCCTGACCACACCCCACCTCACCAGGAGGAGGGAAGCATCAAGGAGAGGCCACCTTGCAGAGGGGGCACCAGGACTTGGGCTAAAGTCGGGG